TGAAGATTTCTCATTTGAGCAAGAGGTAGAGGTGACTTTTCTGAAAAGAAAGAAGTCTCTCTTACCTGCCTTCCCACCCCAAGCTCTTCTGCCTCACAGGCTGTCAAACGAACTACACACTGCACAGAAAGTGCACAGAGCATCCCTGCTGGTTTATTGACTGCCTTACCTCATACTTGCCCGTGGTAGAAATGAAAATGGGTTTACTATTCTAACAGGGTTGAAATAATTCTGCTAAATCTGTATCATCTCTAACTTTACGTTTATTTTGGTGACAGCACAAACAGAAACGTAGGTGCATGGCTGACGTACAAAGCAATAATAAAAATCTATTCTCTACTTCCTAGCTGCTTTTTTTTTTTCCCCACGCAGAATTATTATTTTCTTAAACTGTGTAATTTGAATTTTGTGTAATTTGACTGAGAATCTGTGATTGGTGAGTAAAGAAGGAATTCAACCTGAGGTTATTGAATACATCCACGTACACATCCGCTATTCTCCTCCACTAAAGCATTATCTTACTGGGGTATGATGCAGGAGAGCGATTAAATACATGTTGGATGTGATCACTAATAAGCACAGATTTGGTATGTCACATATTTGCCAAGAGCCAATTTTTACAGCCAAGAGTGAATTTTTACAGCCAAGACACATGCCAGGAAAATAGAGGGAGCTTAAAGCAGAAACACTGGCAGACACTGATGTAGAAGGTGCTGCTACAATTACAGATTACCCAAATGAAAGAAGTGATCTTAACTTAGACCTTTACTAAATGTTAGAAGAGAGGAACAGAGGCCAAGAGCTCCGCAGCTGCTCATGCAGATGTCCTTACTGGCCAACAGCCATTTCTCACAGAAGATGCAATACCTTAGCTACCAAAACTTGCCTGCTGACGATTTCCTGTCCTGCTCTCTGTATGTGTGACACAGCCAGGTATGGCAATATATAGCTTGGAAAAGCAACGTCGTTCCTTCATTCAGTGCCTATGGCAAGCAGATGGGTTAAATAACCTGATGAAAAGATTTCTTGTCTTTAATTTCATTTGCAATTGAGTCCATATGGATGTTGTTATTTTTGTCCACCCTTCCTCTTTATATTCCTGGTTTTGATATCAGAAAGAATTACGCTGTCTTTTCATTTCCATCCAAAACAACAGGACAAATTGCTGCATTGTTTTTAAAAGATGATTAAAAAATGTTAAATTATCTTATCTCCAGAAACTGGGAAGTTCATATACTTCTGTAAAGGTTGGCTGAAATAACCTAATTCAAAAACTGTCTGACTCCTAATCTGCATCTAATTCACATGTTTTGTCACATCCTTCACTTAAGGAAGACAATGAAAGCCAAATTTAGCAAAACATTGTCTCTGGATACTGTCCAGAAAACAAAGAGCCCTTGTAAATGTGTTCAATACAGGCTAATTTGCCAGGAAAAAAAATAATATAGCAAGTGGCTGTGCATCAGGGAAGTAACGTGAAACCAAGTGAGAAGAGCATTGCACAGTTGTCAAGCCAGATGCACCTTCACGTGTTTGAACAGCTACTCAAAGGCAAGGAGAGATATGCAGATGTAACTAAGCAAAGAAGCTGGCTTAGAGCAGGACGAAGTTTCTGGTCCCAGTAGTCCTCAAGATGGTGATGTCTGTCCTACCACACTCTGCCGTGCATGGCACCTTTTGGCATCACGCTGAAGCCACTACAATAAAGTTCATGGTAATGGTGTTCAGTGATGACCCTACGATGCGACGGACAGAGAACAGACTGTACCCAACACATCCTAGCAGAGCATCTTTTCATATATACTGTATCTCATGTAGGTCTATCAGTCAATATATCTCTGAACTATCTGCCCATACTATTCTCCCAGGACTGAGGCCCAGTCCAGTCCAGCGGATGTGTCTTGCATTACTCTACTAAATCACAGTTCAGATCAAACTGTTTTCCTTGACAAGCAGGGTCACAATGCAGAAAACAAGCCACAATGCCAACCTACTAAGAGGCTGACAGCCCAGAAAGCTTTCCAGGCTTCGTGATGAGTATATGAGACTTGACAGGTCTACAGAACTGATAGAGTAACTTGGGGTGTGTCAGTAGCACCAAACATGGGTACCTCTGCAAGTTCACCAGCACCTTTGGCTTACATGCAAAATCCAATTCAGTAGACAACTATTAAGAAGGAAACACTCAAAATCACAGAATCATAGAATCACAGAATTTCTAGGTTGGAAGAGACCTCAAGATCATCGAGTCCAACCTCTGACCTAACGCTAACAGTCCCCACTAAACCATATCCCTAAGCTCTACATCTAAACATCTTTTAAAGACTTCCAGGGATGGTGACTCCACCACCTCCCTGGGCAGCCCGTTCCAGTGCCTAACAACCCTTTCAGTAAAGAAGTTCTTCCTAACATCTAACCTAAAACTCCCCTGGCGCAACTTAAGCCCATTCCCCCTCGTCCTGTCACCAGGCACGTGGGAGAACAGGCCAACCCCCACCTCGCTACAGCCTCCTTTGAGGTATCTGTAGAGAGCAATAAGGTCGCCCCTGAGCCTCCTCTTCTCCAGGCTGAACAAGCCCAGCTCCCTCAGCCGCTCCTCGTAGGACTTGTTCTCCAGGCCCCTCACCAGCTTTGTCACCCTTCTCTGGACCCGCTCAAGCACCTCGATGTCCTTCTTGTAGCGAGGGGCCCAAAACTGAACACAGTACTCGAGGTGCGGTCTCACCAGAGCCGAGTACAGGGGGACGATCACCTCCCTAGCCCTGCTGGTCACAGTGTTTCTGATACAAGCCAGGATGCCGTTGGCCTTCTTGGCCACCTGAGCACACTGCTGGCTCATATTCAGCCGACTGTCCACCATCACTCCCAGGTCCTTCTCTGCCTGGCAGCTCTCCAACCACTCATCTCCCAGCCTGTAGCTCTGCTTGGGGTTATTGCGCCCCAGGTGCAGGACCCGGCACTTGGCCTTGTTGAACTTCATACAGTTGACCTCAGCCCATCGGTGCAGCCTATCCAGATCCTCCTGCAGAGCCTTCCTACCCTCGAGCAGATCGACACACGCACCTAGCTTGGTGTCATCTGCAAACTTACTGAGGGTGCACTCAATGCCCTCGTCCAGATAATTGACGAAGATATTAAAGAGGACTGGCCCCAGCACCGAGCCCTGGGGGACGCCACTAGTGACTGGCCTCCAACTGGACTTGACTCCATTCACCACGACTCTTTGGGCCCGGCTATCCAGCCAGTTTCTAACCCAACGAAGCGTGCGCCAGTCCAAGCCAAGAGCAGCCAGTTTCTTGAGGAGAATGCTGTGGGAGACGGTGTCAAAAGCCTTGCTGAAGTCAAGGTAGACCACATCCACAGCCTTTCCCTCATCCACCCAGCGCGTCACTTTGTCATAGAAGGAGATCAGGTTCGTCAAGCAGGACCTGCCTTTCATAAACCCATGCTGACTGGGCCTGATCACCTGCTTGCCCTGCAAGTGCCGCATGATGACTCTCAAGAGGATCTGCTCCATGAACTTCCCTGGTACTGAGGTCAAACTGACAGGTCTGTAGTTTCCCGAAAATAAAGCTACTTATTTTCCTCTATTATTTTCCCCTTTTATTTTTATTTGTTTCTTTTGCCTCCCAACATTTAAACACAGCCCAATTCTTTCTGTTTACACCATGGTTGAATTTGCATGACACAGCTTTTTTTTAATGCTAGGGCAGCCTTAATATGGACGTATGCTATTTTGGAATATTTTCTTGGTTCAAGTAAATGTGATACTCAAGGGGAGTCTTAGGTATTCCAGCACAATAACACCAAAGTAGTCCCACATGGTAAAAAAAAAAAAATATATTGGAGAATAATACAATAGGTCTCAGTACAGGGAGACTGGACTTGTATTACTATTTAGCATAAGGTATATATTAAAAACCTGTATGGGCAACCGCTGAGCAAAACTAAAAACAAGTAATTTCTGCAGCATAGCTGGAAAGCATGGGATGGGGATTTGGCCTTTAAGTTTAAACACTTGGGGAGAAGTCACCTGCTGAGTCATGTATAAGACATATGGCCCTGGCAGAGGAAAGTGTGGAGCTTGCAAGAACTCATTGACTTTTGTTTTTTTATTTTTAAACATCAAAGTGGGCTTAACTGCCTCCTATGCAGCCCTGTATAAACACTTACATTAAAAAATAAAGTTAAATGGAATAAAATTGAAAGGCATCATCTCATCATGGTTCCTTTATTAGAAAGTATACAACTTTACCCTAAAAATTAAAGCTGATTAAAAGAAAAAGGAGTTGAACTCAGTGCTTTGGCCCACTATTGAAATCTTAATCCCTCTACACACCGAATTACAATAAAAATTCAATCCCATCATCTGGAGAACATGAGAATGAAAATAAAATCAGTCAGGTGAATTATCATCTCTGGTAATGCTGGAAAAGCAACTTAATTATTTTATTGCATTAGATAACCAAAGCTACCTCAAGACACAGTTGGGCAGAAACAGTAAGAAATTAAACTCTATCAGCCTGATCTCTAAAACTGTCAGCATTTATTTGTGAATGGAAAAAGAATACAACTAGGTACCTAATCAGCCTCTGTCTTTATTGCAATCCCATTACAGTCATAGCCAATTAAATCTAACACTACTTTTAAAAATATGCAATTAATTATGATTAGACAAATGCTCATGCGCTCATTTTGTACATGCAAAATTTGAAATAGAACAGGAAAACGAGGCCCTGGTTGTTTTCAAAGCAGCTTTGAGCTTCTTTATTGAAAGCCTTTTATGAATTGTACAGATGTTCTCAAAGAAGAATTAAGTTTCATCACACTGCAGCAGGTTAACATACCCTTCAAACAGAGGATTGTGAACCTTTTACAAATATCTTAATAATCAGGGCCAGGAGTGCACTAATGAGCTTTAATTACCCTGAGTGGCCCCACCTGGGATTCCCCCCTCCCTACACATGACCTTGCCCAGGAGCTCTATTTAAGCTCAGGTCCAAGCTATGCAGTACAAGGATGCCTGTCTCCTCCTCTATCTGCTGCTGTTCCTTCCTGGAGCTGGCTGACCACTTGCTATAGCCATCAAAAGACTCTAAGCCATCTGCTGTGTTCAGGTACCCTGGGGGGAGAAGGGTAAGGGTGGATGAGGGCACGGCTAGCCCTAGCATTACCCTCGGCTCATGGCTTGGTCTACCAGGCAGAGCAGCCCCTTACTGCTCCCTGCCACCAGCTCTCTTCTTGATGAACTATCCCTGTAATGGGTCTTCTAGAACTTGGTGTGCTTGTGGACTATCTTACCTTAAAGTATGTCCTTCAAGCAAGATACTGATTTGCTGTTGGTATAGAAAACAATATGAATTTGAAGCTGTGGTGTTATTGATAACTTCCTAAAGTATTATTATACTTAAGCTATAGAAGTACAGAGAGAGTGGAATTGTATATAGGAACACAGCAGGCTGTTCAAGGATCTGATACACTTGTGGCTTAAGAATATTGACTTCAAACTTCTAAAAACACAGCTATAGAAAGGATTTCAAACGGCCACCAGATGGCCTCATTTTTATATAAACTCTCAAGACACTGCTGCTACAGTCAGCTTCTATAACCTGATAGATAAATACTTGGGGTAGTGGACTAAAACCTTCAGGTGGGATGGCAGACTACTTCTCATAAGAAATTCCCTAACAGTGACTGTGATAGGGATACCTCTTATTCTAAGAGGTTTAACTAAAGCACACCTGGAAATGCCTTCCCATCGAACTCTGAGAGCTCCCCCTTGCTCCTGGGCACACAAAGCTTCCCTGCTTCAGTGGGAGCTTCAGCAAAGACAGCCTGATGCTTTGCTGAGCTCAGGCAGCTGAGAGACCTGTAGACCTGACTGCAGCTCAAGTCTTAACAGATTCTCAGAGATGCTGAGAGGATTCGATTTTCTGTAAAATGTAGAAAGCTTTTAGTGACTACATCTGAGGGAGGAAGATAATTAATGCAATAACTTTTAATCTGAACAGTTCACTTATTCTTCAGTCAAACAGCACAATCGATACTACTTGAACTTCACTATGGTGAAGTTGCCTTTATAGTGATGTTAAATAACAATTCCTGAGTGCTTTCAAACTGTGCCAATAGTCATTCAGGCTAACAGGAAAGTTACAGACTGACTAGCAGAATGATCCCCAAAACACAGGGGTAACTAATAATCCCTGCTGACCTGAGCAGACTTGGTCAAATCATTTGAAAGCTGGTTTCAACCCAGGCAGCTAACCAGATACCTAAAAACTACTTTCTTAATGTAGGAGGCTTAACTCCCTCCTTAATACAAGTTCCCTTTAAATTTTTCACCCTTAATTCCATCTAAACAGTTGGGAATTGAGGAAATAAAATATTAGACTAGAGGTTAAGGAGATTTAAGAAAAACAAAGGATGCTGTGCCTGTTTTCCTTTGACCCTGCTATAGCCCTCACCCCAAGGTATGGGGAGACACAGCAATTTTTACTATTCAGAAAAATGAGTATTGCTGGTAAACCATGGAGGTATTTAACTTCAATTAATTAAAAATTTTAGGTCTGTATTTCTCTAAACTCTTCACCAATTATACCATAGCTTGTTGGGCAAGGTGGGCAGCATTCAGTTGACAGCACAGGATAGGATAAATGAGTAGGTCTGGATGAAATGTGTCTTTTGGATGACATTAAAAAACAATAATGTAAGTGCTGTTTGTGAAATGATGTGCAACCTCAGGCCTACCCAGCTGAAGCCTTGTTCAGTGGGTTCCTTAGCATGGATTCTCTTGGGCTTTCCAGTTCATGGACTTAAGTCATCTGCATCTTCGCTGTTTACTGCATGTAAGATAGCATGTGTGAAAGCAGTGGCTCTGGCTGGGCAGGAACAGGAAACAGCTGATTCCCACTGCAGGGGATCTGCAAATTGGTATCTCAGAGGGTTTTTACAACTCTTTAAATGGACTGCCATATGAGAGAAGTTAAGTCCAACATTTAGATTGAGCATGGGTTTGAAGGAAGAGGGTAGAAAGAGGGAAGCAGTATTTATGGCTATCAACCAGAACTTCAATATACTTCAGTGTGAAAATGGAGGCCAAGCAGAACTAAGTCAGGCTACAAAATGCTCAAACCCAACAGTAATCTGGTCTTCAGCAACCTCAGGTATTTCTCCATCTATCTCTTCTCTCTGCTGCGGAGAGCTAGACAATACTGACATGGTGTTAGACTGTCTCACCTCAGATATAACTGCATACCCAGTCCTATGGCCTGCTCTGATGCTTCTTGCAGACCCTCAACTCTACTAGACTATAGCAGATAGTGAATATCTCAATTTTACTTGTTTTAAGTAAACAGATTAAAAAGTTGAAACAGATCAAGTACTCATCCTTACCTTGCTTCAAAGGCAAACTGTAACACCTGATTTGGCATGAGATGCTTGTAGACAACTACCCTCATTCAGCAGTAATAGTGCATGTGCTGCAGGAGCACCCTGCAGCAAGAATTGTATTTGGGGTGGGGAAAGAGCAGCATGCTCCTAGTGCAGATATTTCTGGTTTCTTCTCCTGGTGCAGGCAGTGTCAGTGTAATACAGAGCCAACCCTTCAAGGGTGACAGGACTGCACAGCTGGACATGCCTTCTCCCAGGGAGGCAGGAAAGTCTGACTTCTGACTCCTGGGGAAGCAGACTCTAACCCAAATGAAAGTCTGTATTACTCTAACCAAACATTGCTGCATAAAACAAGAGTACACATCTATTACAAGAAAATACTTAATATTTCACCTCAAAAGAGACCTTTATTCTGTGTTGGAAGCAGGAAAAAACAAAGGCTTGAGGGCCTACAAGAGACATTTCAGCTGTTGTAAAAAAAAAAAAAAATCCAGAGCAGGTTTCTTATAAATGGTGCTTCATGAAGAGTGATTATAAATTTATAAGCATTTACAGATGCATCAGTGTATCTCCATCAAGTCCCCTCTCATTAACTGCATGTACCTCTTAAAGACCAGCTCCTACCTTTCATATGAAAAGAATTAATACAAGTATCCAAAATTTGGTGTGAATACCCTAATATTAAAATATAGATGTGTAGTAAGCATCTAGGTTAAAAAAAAATCCAAACTCTTAAGTGTAAACAACTCATTTGTTCAAACAAGACCTGCAGAATGATCACAAATGAGTTTTCCCAGGCTTTACAACCAAATATGTTTCACAAACCTGCATGTGCTGTTAACAGAGTCCTCTGGACAATGGTGATGGCACTGACAAGACAGCTTCTTCTGTGGAGGGGCAGGTGCTGTGCTCTCACCATCTTTTCTGCTTTCCATGCTCAGCTTGCTGGAGCTTCTCAAGGGCATGTTGTCCAGAAAACTGGCTGGAAATTAAGGGGGAAGAGAAAAAATTCAAAGCATGATTTCAAGACTTTGAATGAATGGTTTAAAGTATTCCTACCCATCAAAATTTGAGAAAGCTATTTGAACCAGGAATTCACTACAGAACAGTTTTCTCTAGATGCCTCTGAAATAGTCACTGTGGTGTGTGAGGTTTACTGGGCCTCAACAACCTTAGATCAAAGGTGTTGATGTTCAAGTTCTGCTGCTGGCAGCATTGCAGAGAGGTGGTGTGCTTTTCAGACTGTGGAGTGTGGCTTTTCTCCTACTGCACTACATAGGTCAGATCCTTGATTACACCTTTGCACTTTCTTTGTCTCTATACTTGGCACACATCTATACTCACTGAAACTAAAACAGCAGGATTTACAGTACTCAAGGCAGAGCAGAACATGAACATGCAATTTAGCAAAGATTTAACAGAAAGTGATGTTCTTTCAAGTTCAACAGCACTTTGTCACTGAGTTGTACAAGCATCACTTGAAAGACAAGGAAAAATAGTTTGTTTATATTCTTTAAAAATCTATAAACCAAGTCAAATGCAAGAACATGTCGTAGAATGAAAAAAGCTGAGATCCATGGAGGTGATTACTCCTGAAAATATCAGGGTACTGAAACTTGGACTTGATGCAGTAGAGCTGGAGATGCTGGTGAGGGGCTACGAGCTGTTTAAGTGACTTGCTCTTCCCCCTACCCCAGTTCTACTCAAATAGCTTTCGGGGCTTGTGAATATTTTAAGCCTCAAAGACAATGAGATCAGCATAAAAAGCTTCAACTGGCAGTTTCTCACTTTCCTCTTGCTTCCCTGCAAGAATTTTTACTAAAGGCTCCCTTATGAACACAGTCTCCAACAGAGCACTTGAAGAGCAGGCTTGAAATTCTTCATTTACTGTTAAGCCTTCAGAAACAATTGGCGTTATTATACAACACTGTTTAGCTCTAATTAAAATCCTCCTCGTATCTCCATCACCGGGACTGATATATTGTGGAGCTGACAGAAAACTCCATCCTCTTCAACTCCCTAGGGAGAGATGGGGTAGACAAACAGGCAGAGGTGATGGGAACAAGCATCTACTTGATCAGCTTAGATGGAAAGCAATGACTGAGAACAAGCTGAAAGGCACTGAAGCAGAGACTGGAGAATGAGCAGGGCTGATCAAGCAGCCCATGCCCTTAGGAGGACTAAGGAAGCCTACTCTACGCTTCTGGGCATGTATGTTACCTCCCAGCTTCATGTCCTGCTGTCTTCTGCCAGTTCTGGCAGGAAAGCCTTGCATATGAAAGGCACTGGCAGCAACTGGCAGGTATGCTCTAGTTTTCTTCATGTGAGCTGTCCCTAGAAAACTGAGGGAAATGCTGAAACTCATTAGCTCTGAGGAAAGTGGGGCTTCCTACTTAAAGACATAGGATTCTAACAAATGTTAGCTTTGTGAAGCTCATGCACTCCTTGAATATTTGTATCAGGGTGATGCACAGGAAATACAATCATTCACCTTATCAGATTATAACATCTGTGAAATACAAAACTCATATCGCTTGATCTTTAGATTTCTTCAGTACCTATACATCCCATTGAAACCAATTTGAGGTTTTGATTAGCTCAGCTCTTCAGAAAGTCAAACCAGAAAACTCATTACAAAGCATACACAAACTATGGGCTTTTAGCTCTTGTACCCAGCATCAAGATATTAATTGCATTAATGACACAAGTGGCTGTTGAATATACTTCTAAAATCTTGACAAAATTAGAACTCAGTGGTTTAGTTGACTCGGGATGCATAGCATATTTATTTGCTCATAGCTGTAACTTAAGATGCAGCAGGTGTTTAAGGGAAAATGCAGTGTTTGTTTCTCACAACATAAAATTTTAAAATGCAGCTTGTATACAGCAAATTAGTATCAGGAGATGTTTGCTCCCTGGGTCACAGGATTAGAGATGAAATAAGTTCTTTCAATCAGACCTACTTGCTTACTGCTACATGGGGAATATTCAATTATTAATATTCCTGTCAAGAATTTTCAGATTTCAAGCTCATAAAGCAACAAAATGACCTTCTTGCTCACGAGGCAACTGAGTGAAATCCTGTGCCCTCTGTAAGGGCTTCTTCAACACAATATCTACAATTCCAGCAGGGTCTTTATTCAATAAAGGAAGAATGTGGAAATGGAAGCATTTTACACCTAGCATTAAAAAAAATAAGGAAAGGCTTCAGCACTTTAAAACTTTTTTTTTTTTTAAAAAAAAAAGGTTAACATACATGCAACTGTAAGTTAAACTTACTTAGTTGTTTGTTACCTCTTTCAATAAGTAAGAGTTCTGCCCATCGCTCATTAGGGATAGGATCAAGAACAGCTTCTGCAGAACTTGCTGTAAACAGCAGCTTACATCTCTAGACCTGTTTGTATCTCTGGATAAAATGAGGCAGGTGGGAGCTGCTGAACTATAATCTGAAATCTGAAATGCTGTCCAAACCACAGGTGGCTGTTGAGAGAGATAGTTTGGTTTGAGAAAACTTAGTATGATTTAGGCTGCTTGGTATTCATACTTACACTTCCAAGAGATTGAAATAGGGGATGTAGCCTAAGATTTTGTTTCCTGGTCACGTCCAGGTCAAAACTAGTGGAAAATCATTGCAGTTCAGTGTCTAATGCATGAAATCAAATATAACTAAGAGATATGAGTAGGATACTCTCAGGCCCTTTTTCATCTTCTATAAAGAAAAATTCTTCTTGCTTTGTCTTGTTTCTTTCCTTAAATTCATGAGTCCTAGCTAAAGAGATGGGCTCTTGCCTCTGAATTTCAGAGGTCCCACCCAACAGGTGACTGAGGACCACTTAGGAAATCTCCTGCTCAGTTAGAATTCAGGAGACCCCCCACTGAAACTTATGTCTGTCTGACTTCAGAGCAGAAAGGTTTTCAGCAGTCCCTTCCAAAAACTGTAACTTGTAGGGAGAATCCCATCATGACAAGAGCTTTCCAGAGTCTGGAAACAAGTTCTTCCTGCTTTCAGGTGTGAAATGCACAGTTGGGATGGCTAACAGCCTACTGCTCTTGCTTTTGCTGCCACACTGTAACAAACGCATCCAGTTCATGCAGACCTGGCTCTGTCTAGCAATTAAAGGGCTTTGTCTAGCCATTTTGGTGTTGAAAAGCTCTCTGAAGGACCCATGTCCAAGTGCCCTGAATGCAAGGGATTCTATCCCATCTGAACTTGGCAGCTTCTCTGCTATACCCTATTCTGTTGCTTATAGCCAGCTTCCCATCCCTACTGAACAGAGGACAAGATAGAACAACTGCAGAAAAACAGAGGTAGCAGAAGAAAGGTTCTTGCACACTGTTGAGAAACTCACTGGCTACACTGGGGAATTAAACAGTTAAGAGTCTGTACATTCAGACCGATACAACATCAAATTCAGTTGATTTTTCTCAGCTTATCTACTGCAGCTCATGAGCATGTACAAAGTACCTTCCACCACAATAACAGGCAGATGTCCACCAGGGCTCCGAACTCTATTTGGAGTACTGCTTGTGAGAGAGTTTCCTTTGTAGGGATGAAACCACTCAATTGTGATGTGAGGACCTCTGTTATGAATGTCCACTGGGAAGGGGAATTGTGTGCCCAGAAGAGCTATGGCTGTCTTTCTTATTGTGTGTTGTTCTTTGTTTTTTTTTCAAATGTTAGTGTCTATCTGTAGCTTCTGTGCTTCACCTGAGATTCTCTACCATATCTGAAGGCAAACTTTACCAAAAGGTGAGACTAGGAAGATCAAGTCAGCAGGAAGAGTGAGGAAAACATTGTAATATGCTGTAAAATGGAAGTACTACCTTACTATAGGAATGACTAATGTGTCTTGTCTAAAATCCCACTAACCCCCATGTCAACAAATACGCTGCCTTAGAAATATTCTTCACTTTTGGTTCCCATCCCTCCTAGACTTCACGGTAATCTTAGAGCACCAAGTATCTAAATACTAAATTCCCCTTTCCAGTGTGTCAAACCCCTTGACTGTTATTCAATTTCTCTCTTTAATGATAGAAAACTGATTACATAGCATCACTCCACAGCTGCAGTGAAGTCTCCCTCAGGATGAGATATTGTTTTTTAAATGATGCTGTCTGCAAGACGGCTTTCTTTTTGTGTCTGTGGGTACCACCATCTATTTAAGCTTCTCTGCCTTGATCCATGTAAGAGCATAAAAATCTCATCTAGAGAGCACATCTCCTAATATACACTCAGTCCTCAAGCTCTCTGCTGTGGCTGCCAACAAGTACGCCAACCCTTGCCAGCAGTAGCCATAGCTATGCAATTTGGACAGGAATTTCTCCACTAGAAGCTGGATAAAGCCCAATAACTCATTTCACACAGGCCCAGAGCCATCGGATGGTAATGACTTTTGGGCACTACCCTGATTCAACAAGTCCAGTAATGAAGGAGGTGAAAAGCTCTGTACTCTGTTACTGGAGTCCAAATCTTAAACCACCCTGTTCCCTGAGGATAAATAATTAGCAAGAGTTGCCTCAACAGATTGCCTTCTGTGCCACAGCCATGTGATTTATGTGCTAGCCATCCAGTATAAAAGCAGATCTTCTATAACTTTTGCATGGTTTTGCCAGGAGTAAAAGTCAGACTTGTTTCTTATTCAAATAGATATTAATGTCCAAAAACAATTAAAGAAAAAAAGTACTATGATCATTATTCTCTCTACACAGTATTTGAAGCCTCATACTAACACAGTATGATTCATTCATATTTTCCCATGCTTATAAAAATAAGTAGCTTACAGCATTCACTGACAATGAGATACGTTTGCTGCTTCTGAGAAGGTACAGGTAGGAAGCTTTGAGTATTACGGAAGGGTCCTTTGGACTGGAAATTAAATACGCAAAAGCATCTGAACAAGAATTAAAGAAAACCTCTAAATCTACTTTAGGTCAGAAGGCAGCAAAACAGTCAACTTGATAGAGTTTCCATTCAATGGTTTTAAGCCACAAGGTTACTTCATCTATAGCCTGCGCTGGCCTATACAGCTTTTCATCAAATCATACTTGTATTAAAATATGAAACTATCACACGACACCCTGCTAGGGTTTCCTATACTACATGATGAAATGCAGCTTGATGACTTCCCACCAGGCCAGTGTTAAACCATTGACATGATTGTTTTAAGAGAAAGGGAAATAACTAACTGCTAACTCACTGCACTTTGCAGTCATCAGATAAAAGAATTTCCATGGGATATTTTTTGGCAAATAGTCAGTAATGAAAACACACCACAGTTCAAGAAGTTGAAATAAATTATACCTCTTAACTCAGCCTGATCTACTGTGTAAAATGGTCAAGAGGTAACAGTAAAACATTTTTTATTGGTGACAATCATAATAACAAAGAAGGAAAAAAGGATCATGACAGTCTCATTTAGCTGGATGTTCAAGGCTACCATATAAAACGAGGAAAGGCCAGATGCCAAGACCTGCACAATTGATCCAAAACCACAGTAAACAGAATCTGGCATTAAAAATACCAGAAAAATGAAAACAGCATGTTCTTTTTCAGTGTATTGCACTAGTGAGCTTCAAATGAGGTTGGCATCAAATGGTGATTGAAAATAGCTTTACTCTGGTATACATATATCCATTGCAATAAATTGGCATACTAACAAGAATAGCAACGTTGGGTTTATCTTGTGTGATTTGCATCATTTTACACCTCTGTTGGAGTTGCTATGCACCAAAGCACGTACAACATTCTCATCTCTATAGTTCAAAATTTGGGATGTTTTTGCTTTCATTCACAATGCAAATAAGCAAGGGTTACAATCAGATATGTTTTAAACAATTTGTCAAGGCAGTTTTCTTAAATTAAAAATAAATAACCTGTCCCTATCATTGGAACGTCACTGAGTACGTATATAGCTATATCTGCTGCTAATTTAAAAATGTTTTGTGGTGTTTTTTTTCTTTCAGAAAATGCTTTAGCATTTGGCTTGAACAGGATAAGCACCCTTCTCCCATAAAGTGTGAGTAAACCATCTTAATCATACTTGATATTAACTAAATTAGTTAAGTTCAGCATGGAATGTAACAAGCTGTGACAAAACCACTGAGACGAGACCCCTCAAATTAATGCCATATTACTTGTAAATTAAAATTGCAAAGGCTTCTTTGGTGTCATAACCCATGGAAAACTCCCATATAATTTGCTGTCCACCATTACATCACAGTTTGATTGAGTGTTACTTTTTCCTGGTTTCCTCTCATTTCTGCTATCCACAGTTAATCTGTGCCTTTTTTCACTTGGAAAAAAGGAGAACCCATTGGCTGTGTTCTTATAACATGAGATACTGTACCAACAGATAGATAGAAAAAAGCACAAAAGAAAGACTTATTTCAAAATTCCAAAGGAAAGACCATGCAAAATGTTTCAGCCTGCCTTACCAGACATAGTGAAGTCTAGCTAGATACCCAATGTAACTTTACTCTATTAAAGAATTTCTACAGTTCTATTAAACCCTTCACTTAATTCTACTGTTCATAATCATCCGGTTCCACTTGTAATTGTTCCATTCCAAAGAGAAGCTTTTTAAATATAAATTACCTTTTCATTCATCTCTGCAAACGTTAAGGTATTTCACATTTTCAGTAAGACATGAAAATATTTTCCTTTCTTTCTAATCTCTTTTTGAGAGCACAGCAAATCTACAGGTAGTATACGCTGGACCTACCATCACACTCTTCTGAATTGTGTGTTCTTGTCCCATTCAATATGAATAAACATTTTGCAAATGTTTATGGAAAAGTGCTACTGTTTTATGCATGCATGAGGGTAATAAAACTGGAACACCAAGGCAAATATTCCATAAACACTAAGATCCAGGGTCCGATCTGAGAACGACCATCTCTCCTGGCTTCATTCCAAAAAAGACTGAGTCATAAACAAGCATTGTCAAAAAAATCAGAGGAGATAAGGTGCAGCTAAATCACACCTGTTCTCCTTGAAGTGTTAGTCATTAAGGTACTACAAAATAATCAGACATTTCAGATGCACAGTAGCTTAGCTTTGTGTGATAATGTGCAGAAATTTAGGTTTGCCATGGTTGAATTACTTTATATAGTTTCATTTATCAATGTGATTCACACTGAATGCCTACTTCTACTTTTCAAGATAACCTGAAATGGAAACTGTTACTGAATAGTAGCTTATAGCGTACAAAGGCACATTAAATGATAGTCTCGTGTCTTTGCCAAATTTGCAATATTCCTTACCACAGGAAACAAATTTAACTATTTCAGTGAAATTTCTTAGAAAGATGGGGGTTATTTTTATCTCATCACTTTTATGTAACAAACCTTTCTTTTTCATTTCTTCCTTGACAGCATCTTGGGACACTGTCGAGCTAATGTAACCAAAATTAATGAACTACACCAACTGAAGCTCAGCTGCAAAACCCCATCTACGAGCATTACTGGATCAAAACAGGGAATGGAAACTCAGATAACAAGATGTGAGATAAGCAGCCTGGCTGTTAAACTGCAGACAGCTTTCAGGGTCTGTGGCACACTACCTTCAGTAACTTTTCACGGAAAGAGAGACAGGAAGATTGCTATTACAGACCAAAGCTTGTTACATCTGTTCTTAAGCTGCAAATCCCCACACATTGCAGTTCCCAGCAGCAAACACTGAATGCCACCGTCGTGATATTTTGCCAACGCCTTTGCAAGCAATCTTGAAAACCTCCCTGAACACTAGCAAGAGAAAAAGAATTTCAGACAGGAAGCAATACAATCTGATGTCGTTACTACTGAATTATGCTTTGCTATCTGATCTTTAAGAAGGCATCAAAGATTGTAATGGACAAGCTGTAGATTTTTATTTCTTATCATTTCAGATGATATTCTGATTGACTGAGGCATTAAGACAATGAGAAGCATTTAAGAGAAGCAGCAACAGACAGCCTTCACCCTGTGGCGCTCTCAGATGCATTTAATAAATCATCACCACTCCTCTTCCCTTTTCCAAGGAAAAGAAACCCAAGAATGCTATGCCCAGTAGTCAAGATAAATATAGCGGCTGGAAGATAAAAATATCAGCTAGCTCTTCTCACTCCAACGCTCAAAACTGCACCTGTACATTAAAATGTAATGAGCATGTGCCCCTGCCATGCTTGCAGGAACCAGTGCCCTTCTGGCTCATTTGCTTTGGCTGTTCCTCAGTAGATGTGACATACCTTCGGTTCAGCCTAGAGAGCAACCTTATCCGTAGCTCTCAAACTCCTGTTTCAATCCTGCCATGTAATTGTTCCCTCTCGCTTCTCTTAATGAATTGTGTAGAGATCATAAGAAGAAGTAGCTGTTATACAGCTACCTTATAGCATAAGTATGTGCTATTTTTAATGGCATTTCTTAAGGATGTGTTTTAGTGATGGGATTCAGTAGGTCAGGCTGATGATTGGACTTGATGATCTTGAGGCACTTTTCCAACCTAAATGATTCTATAGAATCACAGAATATCCTGAGTTGGAAGGGACTCACAAGGATCACTGAGTCCAACTCCTGGCTCCACACAGGAGTACCCAAAAATCAGACCACATGTCTGAGAGCACTGTCCAAAAACTTCTTGAACTACAGCAGGCTTGGTGCTGTGACCACTGCCCTGGGGAGCCTGTCCCAGTACCCAAGCACCCTCTGGGTGCAGACCCTTTCCCTAACCCCCAGCCTGACCCTCCCCTGTCCCAGCTCCATGCCGTCCCCTCGGGTCCTGTCGCTGTCCCCAGAGAGCAGAGCTCAGCGCCTGCCCCTCCGCTCCCCTCCTGAGGGAGCTGTAGGCCGCCATGAGGCCTCCCCTCAGCCTGCTCTGCTCTGGGCTGAAAAAAACAACAGACTTCAACTGATCTTCATACACTTTCCTCTCTAGACCCTTCACCATCTTTGTAGCCCTCCTTTGGACACTCTAACAGTTCTATGTCCTTTTTGTACTGTGGTGCCCAGAACTGCACACGGTACTTGAGGTGAGGCCGCAACAGAGCAGAGCGGGGCAATCCCTTCCTCAACCAACTAGCAGTGCTGCGCCTGATAAACCCCAGAGGATGGGTGGCCCTCCTGGCTGCCTGGGCATGCTGCTGGCTCATGTTCGACTTGCCGTCAACCAGAATCCACAGATCCCTTTTTGTGGGGCTGCTCTCCAGCCTCTCATCCCCCAAACCGTACATATAGCCAGGGTTGCCCCATCCTAGGTGCAGAATCCAGCACTTGCTCTTACTAACTCAATTTTGCTGAATGAAGCGCTCGAGTATCTGCAAGACTTTTTCTACCCCAAGGCAAATGCCACCCTGCCAAGTCACCAGGCCAGGCGGTGTTTGAAGTAATTGAACAAGTGACAGGATAAATTCTTGCACTGTTCAGCTGCCAGAGCAGAGAGCTAACTGAACTGACTGCTGCTACTGTTGGCCCAACCACACACACTGAATAGGGGTCTGAGCTGCATGGATAGAAGTAGTACGCAATGAAGAAGATCTTTGTGTTTGAGAAGGAGGACTGAGGCACAAAACTTGTCTTCTGCAAACATGGCTGAAAGCAACATAAAATGCCATTGACTTATTCAGTTTGACAGAAAACAAATAAAGTCATTTAAAGGGGGGTGGAAGGCATCTCTATTGCAAACCAAAATTAATTGCATGCGTGAAACAACAATAATCAATTCTGACCACAGACGTAAGCGCTATGGTTTTCCCAAAGTGTTTGAGCAGCCTAAAAAGCATTTCCCTGTCTGCACACTTCAGAGCATCTGCTGAGCTCATCTGCACGTGCCATCCACCCCCGATGGCACTGCCACCAAAGCATCAGTCGGTCCCCTCCGGCAGGCTGCCACACACAGCCACCTCCGGAAGATAGGGATTGTGCTGTCAGGCTCACTGGGTTTGGTAGGCTTGTTTTTTTAACATGGTCATATGAATATGCGTCTAAGGAAGAAATGTTTATTGCGAGCAACACTAGAACTGGCATCCCACATGCACAGCTCCTTGAACAAACATTTTAAGAGTTGTGTGACTATCTTTTCTTAAACATTTTCTATAGAATTTGAAACAAGAAACAATTCTGGATGAGTGTAAAACAGGTCTTTTTCAGCACCCAGCTATATATGAACAGTGATGAAAACAAGCTCTGGGAGAAAAAAATACATTTCTTTTAATTATTTTGGTATTTCTCCTGTTAATTACTGTTTAAAATGCATAGAATAGATGCTGATTTTAATAAGTACCAACATACACTTGCGTTATACACTGCCATCGTAACTTTAAAATTAGACAGAAAGATGCCTATTGCTGAGGCTATAACCAGTCCCGACTCTACAATTTATGCTCAAAATACAAAGTTGGCATCAAACTTGATCGTTATCACTAAAAAAAAAAAACCACCTTACTTTTAAATTAATTTCAAAAGCAGAGATTAATCTAAAGGATATTCCCTCTTAAATTGTCAGGCTGAATGACAAGTATTAGGACTTCTAAAAATCTCTTCTTCACTAAAAGGAGAATGGGGAATCTTTTGTTTTAGCTGCAGTATTTTCTCTGGAAATATACCACCTCTCTCCTTAAACCTAAACTGAGAAAAAAAGCACCTAAGCGTTTACAGATCTTTAGGACAACTCCCCAGAAGGATGCAACACAACCTTCAAACACAAAATGCCCCTGGCACACCATGGCCATAGAAGAGAAGAGAGAAGAGGCATGTAGCAAGCAGCAGGCTGCCTGCTGCCCCATGGGACAGCCCCACGCTGCCATGCCTTACTCCAGCTAAGCTGCCTTTTTTTTTTTTTTCCCCCCCCCAATCACACATTTTCCCCTATAACCTCTCAGCAAAACTTCATTGTTCTTTTTTTTTTTTTTCTTTAAAGCACTCTTAAAAAAATAAATTAAATAGTAAAGAAAAAGGAAAAAAAAAAAAAAGAGGAAGAAAACGGAAGGGGGGAAAAAAAGCGCTTTGTGAGCTGGAATGCTAAGCCATCTACTTACAGGCAGTTTCTGTGGGCTTGCTACATAGCTGCCAGATTCCCCGAAGATGAGAGTCATGTGAGGAGGCAGAGCGTGGTTCAGGGGGCTCAAGCTAAGAAAACACAGCACCGTGCGCTGGGCTAATCCTGCACCTGTGGTGTGTTATTCGGCAGCAAAGAAATGCAGTCCAGGCTGCCTCTGCCTAATGCAGCTCAGCTGTTTTTCTCAGCACTCCCTTTGATTGTAAGCTGGCAAACAATGTTATTTCAACCAGGCACAAAGCAATATTCAGGCCACATAGGATATGACAGTAGAAAGGTGAAAGAAAAAGAAAAGCCTGGAATTACAAATAAAATAGAGACATTGAGCAATACAGGATTTGTAACTATTTCCAGATGGCTACAAGCAGGTTCCAAAGTTAGGAAGTGAAATGCACACTGGTGCTCCCCTTTCGCTCCCCAGCTCCCTTTAAATTGGGTCTGCCTGAGCCAGGGATACACCACAGTCGTTCCTTTATCTAGCTCAACACAAGGTCTCCAGTCAGTGCAATCAAGAGAAGGGCTGATGGCTTTTAGGCTTCTTGTGGTTTACCTTCTAGGCAAAATAAAAAATGCCACTGGAGAAGAGATTTTAATTAAAACAGATGACAGGGATCTGCTCTCTATTTTGTTTTCTGTTTTTTTTGTTTGTTTGTTTGTTTGTTTGTTTGTTAATTATTATTGTTTTTTAAGAGAAGGGGCCACCAAAGAGGTCTTCAAGTCACTGCTAGGATACCTAGCTTTTGAGAGCATGACACCAAAAAAGAAAAAAAAAAAAAGTAGGAAACTTAACAAGAACTATATGCAAAAAGAAGGAAAATCTGGTCCCTTGTCGGAAAGACAGCAAATGTTTAACTCCAAGGTGGAGGCATGATAGTTGAGAACAATCAATTATCCTGATATTTATAGGATAACTAGTACTAAAAATACCCTGCAGTTGTGATCTGCAAATATATTTAACAAAAAATATTATTTAAAAAGAAAACAACGGTCACAGGTTATTGATTTTTTCACATCCTGGGAAGAACTTAGATTTTAACTCTAACACAAGGAAAAAGAATCTTGTAATAGGCATCTATTCCAGATAACAGTCATTTAACACACAATACCTCCTTCATATAACATCTACCATTTCCAAGTTAGTATATAACTGTTGGAGCTGACTTATAGATACTGTTTCTTATCAACTTTTTTTTTTTCTTTTTGATATTAAGCCATAAACATGAGATGCTGCATTCATAATATGCTCATGGGATTTTCTACTTAAACGCTTTTCTCCACAAAATGATACTTTAATTTCCACTCCATTGTTATCTAGTCTAATTCCAAGTTTGGAAACTGTAACAAAAATATGAGATATCTGACCTTTTGAAAATTATGTATCCAATTTCTTGTTGGAAAGTTTATTGCTGTTGCTACTTATCAATGGGATTATTAAAAAAAAAAAAGAAAAGAAAAGAAAAGAAAAGAAAGAAAGAAAAAAAAAATTATTTTCTTTAGATAAAATATATTCCTCAGAGAAAATGTTCAAAACTAATCAGGAACTATCCAAATTTTCAATTGACTTTGTGCAGAAGGGCTCCCTTGTCAGGATGCCAAATGAAAGCAGTACAATTCCTAGTGCAACAATTAAAGGTAAGTATCTGGATATTCAATGTGATCTATAGAGGAGAAGGTAAGAAACAAGACTTTATACAACAAAAAATAAAACAAATACATTTCCTTTTAAAAAAAAATATATATATATACACACACATATATATATATTTTACTCTTGAAAATCCTCTCTTTTTTTTTTTAAACAATCTTATCCACGCTTTCTTCAAGCTATTCAATACTAGCAGACTACTCTCTGCTATCAGAGGTGATGTTTGTATTTTAATTCCTCCATATCATCTGGTGTGTTCCAGCTGCATCCCTACTTTAGAGAACCATTGGTATATGCTAACAAGATCATGCGCACCATGTGTAAGAGATACGTGACATATATTCCTCTACCAAGGCAATTTCGTGAGATGGGCTGGCTCAAAACTCCTTGAACTTTATGGTGGTGTTCCTTGCAGCCATCACACTCTCCACCTGTTCATCTCTCTGAGAGCTTCCCGCTTGTTGCCTTTTTCTTTTTTTTTTTTTTTTTTTTTTTTACTGTTACTGGGATAGCTGCATGTGAAGAAAGGAGGCCTCCCCTGCCTTTTGGCCTCTTCTACCATCATTTCCATGCTTTCAGACTTCTCCTCCTAAAATTAGGATACACACAGATTCTGAAACGAATTACAAAGCCAATTTGCTTTAAACTTCATGAGGTTTATATATAATGTGGTAAGTCTAAAACAACCAAAATGATGCAAAGCAGCCCTCCTCTCTCACCCCTACCCATGCTCCCCAGTGACATCTCATTTTACAGCTAGGGAACGAGGACCCAAAGGTCACAGGTTTATTCATCCGGTTAGCT